TAGGTTTTAAATGACAAAGTATATTCTATCTCTTTGATTTTATAAAATAGGTATTATGCCTAAAATCTTAAACAACTAGTTAATATATATATTCAAATAATGGCTGCTAACATGTCACTACATACTAAATCTATCAGTCTGGCTCAACTCCATTATGACTTTTGTAGGGATTTTATTTATTGGGACGAGGAGTCAACTATACTCCACGTAATGCGTCTGTATTCAGCATTGGATAAATGTATTTTGTATATGAAAACCCTTTTCTTGTCGATCTAATACAGATCTCATCCTGAAATATTAGGGAATAGGCCAAGTTTATAAATTTGTCAGGTTTATTCGCGTGCACTGAATGGGAGAATCGTGCATTTCAGGGTTTTTTGTACAATAACTACAGCGATTCTTTTGGGAATCCTAGTATGTTTATAAAGAACACTAATTCGTAATATCACAACGAGCTAATATTTGAGCTTAAGTGCGCTAACTCAATCTATACCTTTAAATATGTTAGCGATGTTAAAAAATTTTAGAAATCAATTAATTTTAGTTGAAGATATGGACGGTCTTCATTTGACTATGGTATAGCTGTAGTTTGATTGAAATCAATCGTTTTAGTTATGCATAATGGTGAAAAAAGGATGTATTATATATAAAGAATATTGTATTTAAATGAATTGGAAGAAGTTGTATGCTCAAAATCTAATGTAGGGTTTTTCAACTGCCGGTCCGTCGACTATTGCAAGAACCAGTAAGTAAAATATTTTATTTTTAACTTTAAGCGATATTAATTTTAATATTAAGCGATAAACGTACATCCACACCAAAGCGAACGCTTGCGAACGTACGTACTTTTTCAGTTACCATTACCTGGAATTGCTCCTTCGCTCGCAACTGTTCACTTTGATGTGGATGTGGCTTAATGATACCAGATAGAGATAAACCACTATGTAGATATTTGTAGTAGTTAATTTTATGAATTTAAGAACTGATAGAGGGTTTAATTAAAGAAGACCTTATTGAGACTTAAACCCAGACCCTACATGCCGTGGCTTAAATACCTATGCACCGTGCTATCAAGGCAATATAATAAAAGACATTGAATTGTGAAAAAAACAAATACTTTTTATTACATTAGGGTTTCTAGGAAAATTTGTTGTTAGATTAGGTTAGAATTGACTAAACACTTTTTTGATCCCTAACCTCACTTGAGCTCACATACTGGCCTGTTGTGATAATATAATTAGTAGTTTCATTTTTATTATAATTAGATAAAAGGAATAGATTTTTTACTATTACCTATTACTATATTTTTACTATATTACTATATCACTATATTATTTACTAATAACTTACCCAACAAAGATAGAGAAGACGCAATATAATATAATGACTCTTGGTCGTCTTAAAAAAGAGGGGTGTCATATTTCATAAACGGCAACTGTTTTTTATTACACGGCTGGTTAGTTGAATCAGTAGCAAGGTGCGACATTTCAAAGACTAAAACTGTAGGTGAAGTTTTACTACGCATATACAAAGTATTTCCCAAGAACGAGAATATCAACTCGGTTAGCTTGGTTTGTTCTATATCCAATCGGAACCGAAATAATCTCTGACTTCAATCCATTGAAAGCTTAATATTTTTGATTTTTTAACATGGACTAGATTTAAATTTCCTACAATAAATCTAACTTCCTCTTTGTTCCTGGAATGAGTGTATCTATTTGGTATAGTTAATTTCAGTGAACAGAAGAACAGTGACAGTGACAATAACCAAATCCATTATAAAAAGCTGTTCATTCATTATTTTTAACATGTAATTTGTTGTTGTTCAGTGGCCTTTCTTAAGGAAAGGCCATATAGCAATATTAGCCAGCATAATCTGTATCCGCGTCTTATAGATATGTTCTGGTTTCCAAATTTATATACGTACCGTATTTAAATTTCGTCTATAATATTTAACTTTCTGTTTTATCTATAAATAACCAGAGGTATAAGATTCACTTACCTTTTGTTTTCCATCTTGATTCTATTCTGATTCACATATATCTTTGTGATTCTCTTAAAAATATAGTCAAACTTCCATAACACGAAGCCCAATTTGACAAAGAAAAGGTTCGACTTATGGATCCACTAATTTAGAGCTATAGTGCTCAAAAATGTTGTCATCTGTAGGAAAGCTTGATGTAGAAATTTCATTGTCAAGCTCAATATAATCATTAAGAGTAGCATTGGAAGTTATTTTATTTACTTTAAACCACGCTGCCATCGACTGGCATTTGTACAAAGAAGCAACATAAGAAGGAAAAAATTAAACATTTGGTTTGGAAAAAGGGACTTCCCCTAATAGCAAAATGCATTTATATTTAAAACAACTTATAGAATCCACTTTCCCATATTCCTATCGGCACGGAACAAAATTTTTGTTCGAGTTATAGAGAAATTCGAATTATAGAAGTTCGAGTTCTAGAAACAGAATTGTATGTAATTTGCTCTGTAAAACCTTGGTGCACTGTTTTTGGTTCGAGTTATAGAAAATTGGAGTTATAGAAGTTCGAGTTATGGAAGATTGACTGTATTCCTATTTTTTGTATTTTTATTTATTGTAGCACAATAAATCTCCCTCTCTCCCCTCTGTTAGGAGACGGTACCCTGTTGATTTATTTCTATTCTATCTTTATTTATTATTTTAATCATATTCATTACAATCAATTATGAACATCCGAAATTGCAAAACCAAGACAATTGCTGTGTAGTTTTAGAAACATTGTGAAAAAAGTTATGGTCCACATCGGGTTTTATTTGCTAAGTTCCAACCATTTACTACTACTCTACATGACTTTCGGACTATTCAAGGTATTACAATAGCAACAAATACTCCATTAATATTCAGTTAAGTTTCTTAAGTTAACTTTTTTGCTTTATAATGGTTTTTATATATTTTTTGTCTGGCTATAGGCCACTTTTTATCAAATAATTCAACGTTTGTTTAATATTTTTAATACATTCTATAATTCGACTCTCCTTGAGAGTCATCATCAGGGTCACGATCTAACATAAATTAATACTACTAAAACTATATCTACGTTATCCTCTTTATTCTACTGTCTATATTTTGCTTTATAGAAAAAGAAATAGTCTAAATTATTTTGTTTTCTTAAATAACTAATTATGTCAATATTTTTCGGAACCCCAATAACTGAAGCTTGTAAAAAACCTCTTAATAAACTCATTAGCATAATAAACACCATTTCTTTGTGAGGGCAAGAGCAGTTTAAATTTTATACTAATATTGCAACTAATATTAAATAGTGTAATAAACATTTATATACTAATATTTAAAATAAATATCATATACTCCCAATATATAATTATAAAAAGTAACGTTAGTCTATCTGAAATGTTTAGGTAGGTCGTCAAAAATTAACACATTAATCACGTTTTGATTGATAATTGACTTAAAAGATTATCATCATATTATTATATATGAAAATGAGGAGAAAGGTACGATTGATTGCAAGTTCAATAAAACACTTTCAACAAAGTGAATTATTTATGTTTTTATTAATTTTATTTTAATATATATATAATATATATATATATATGTATATATATATGTATAATATTTTTACAAACATTTTTTTACATTACATTTTCAGCATTATTATTTTTTATTGATAGCTGTGTGTACGCAGTATGAAAATAAAAATCAATATATAAGAGAATATATCATATATCTGTATATATAAATAAATATATATGTAAGTACATAAATTAAAAATGGAATATATAATTCTTTAAGTGTAATTTTTCTAAATCAAAAATTAAATGCAAAACATATAGTAAAGAACCGATTAAGTACGTAGTTACAGTTTTAGTTATTGAAAGATATTATATATACAAACAAAATTTTGATCAATTACTACATATAAAAATATATAAAATATATTGTTAAAAAAAAAAAAAGAAAAACAAAACTATTTTAAAACAAAGTTTACATTAATTTCAGAAACAAAATATTTAATATAAACGTTAGTATAAAAAAGTATAAATTACAAGAAGTGGGTTTCTTAACTACATAAAGCAGTATATGGCTATAGATGTTATTTGGACTGATACAATCTGTAGATATAAAGACAAATAATAAATTAATTAAATATGTATTTTATAATATATTAGTTACATCAAATCATATCATATAATTCTAAACAATATATACGATAGCACATATAGGATAAAAGTATTATATATCAGAGGAATTTATTGAGGTATATGTAAAAAACCAGAGTTGTAAATTGAACCAGTTTTAAGCCGGGGCCTACAAGTTTTTAGTGTAATCACGAACCTAACGTTTGTGGTTGATCTAATAGTTCACATTATCGAATCATTGAATCGAATCACTTCTGGAATTTATAAAATGCACAGCACTGTTAAAGACAGATCGAGATATGTCAAAAACAATTACCATAATTCTTATAGATCAAATTTTATTTTGATTTATTTTTATCTATACTTATAGATCAAGTTTATTTTTTTATTTAATTAAAATAAATAAATATTTTTTAATTATTAAAATTTTATTTTTCTTGTAACTTGGTGGGATATATAAATAGATGTTTTGGATGGCATTATATGGAATATATAGTAACAGTTATCTCTATTAATTCAGATTCAATTCTCAGGCTCCTAAAATAAAAATTGAACGCTATTAATATGTGTTTATATCTGTAAAATACTACTTATAAGAGAGCTGGTATGAAATATATGTTAGTAGCATATTTAATATTCTCAAATACTTTAGTATGGTAAATATGGATATGATTGAACTAATTATTACAGCGTAATATACTCTGTGGATTCTATTTTTATTAGCAGTTATAGATATTTGTGGCTTGTTATACTTTAATTAGATTAAGCTGTGCTGAGCTCAAAGACTAGCAGGTCAAGTATTTCAATGACACCAAACACAAAGCAGTGTTTGAGTTATTCGAACATTTGAAGTAAGCGAGTTATTCGAACATTAGAAGTCTTAAATATAACTTTTAAATTTTTCAAATTATTTTAACTTTTAGAGTGTTCAGTGATGTTCGGAATCTTGAAGTGTTTTATTGAACCAATAGCTCAAGCTTAATCGAACGTCACGATATTTAAAACTTAACCTTTGAGCTCAAGTATAATCAAATAATAGTTCGAATATTATTTTTAACGCTACTTTATATATAAAACTGTAACTATCTAAAAATCAAAATTTAGATTAGAAGCAAATGATAAGCTATAATATACTTGAAACCAGAAACCCACTTTTAACATAAATAGGCGTATATATAAAACATATCAAGAAACATGTAAAAAATAAATTCTATTAACGGCAAAGATACGGATTCATTGTTATTTAATAATTTTGATAAGTGTTTGTTTTTTTGTTTTTTTTTTGTTTGTGTAAAACATTTTCTACATTCTTCTCACATAAAGTTTCATATTCTTTTTCATAGTAACTTAAACCTCACAAATTGATTGGTCACAATTTGTCATATCCTTCAACATTTCTAACTTATATCAACTAAACATATACAACATTTAGGTTTTTTGTGTTCGTGTTTTGTTTTTAATATATTTTTTTTTTGTTTTTGTTTTTAAATATATATTTTTTATACCTTTTATAAATAATTATTGTAGCTTTTCTTCGTCACTGAAGCATTAGCAATACTTTCGTTGGCAGTATACGCACACATCTACCGCTTAGTATCTATAATAGTTGGGCTTAAAAGGACCTGCTTTATTAAGGCCCATATATTTTGCCTGCTCGTCACTGAGCTCAGTTAAGTGTGCGTCAAATGTGGGCAAATGTAAGCTTGCCACATACTCATCCATTTTTTTCGGTAACAAATAAACGTCTGATTTGTAACGGCCAGGAGGTGCATTGAAAAGTTCTATTAAAGCTAAAGCTTGTGTAGCGGAAGTAATTGACACAGCAAATGATGGTATGCTGGAGCACGACAAATTGACCAAACGTCCCTCAGCCAGTAAAATAATATACTTACCTTCTGGCCATATAATATGATCAACTTGTGAACGTACTTTTTCCCATGTTAAGTCGGGTGTACGCAAACCGTTCACATCAATTTCGGTATTTGAATGTCCCATATTGCATATAATACAGCCACTCTTCATTTTATCCATATGTTCACGTACAACTACATTTTTATTGCCTGTTGCTGTGACCACAATATCCACATTACGTATTACTTCATTCAATTTCACAACACGGAAACCATCCATACTTGCTTGTAGTGCACATATTGGATCGATTTCTGTTATATACACTATACAACCTTGTCCTTTTAAAGCTTGTGCACAACCTTTGCCAACATCACCGTACCCGCATACAACAACCTGTTTGCCGCCAAACATAACATCGGTTGAACGTTTTAAGCTGTCCAATATAGATTCTTTGCAACTATAAAGATTATCGAATTTGGTTTTTGTTACAGAATCATTCACATTCATTGCAGGCACAGTCAATTTGCCAGCTTTCGACAATTGATACAGACGATGTACACCTGTTACACTCTCCTCCACAATACCCTTGACAAGTTTAAACATTGCTGGATATTTTTTAAGCATCAAATGGGTAGCATCACCTCCGTCATCAAGTATCATATTTGGTTGCCAACTTTCAGCATTCACACAACGATCAATGCACCACCAGAAATCTTCTTCGGTTTCACCACGCCATGCGAAAATTGGTATGTCCGATTCTGCTAAGGCAGCGGCGACTTCATTCTGAAAGAGATTATTGCTATTAATATAATGTTTTAATAATCTCATCTTAATAATTTATAATATTTTATAGAAATAATTAAATTATATTAGTAATATTAACAACCATTATTAGTTAAATACAATTTTGGGAGGGTAATTTGACTATAATTTGAACCACACCATTTTTCGAGAACTATTAACTACCTGTTTGTAGGTGAATGACAATCAATGTTTCACAGTAACGAAGATAACTTCTTGGTATGGTCTCAGTCACAAAAAACATTTCTCTAAAAATTGAATACTACAAGCTACTACAAGAAACATATAGATAGCTATATGCTTATTTGCAATTCACCAAAACTTTTTGAACATTTTTCGCTCCAAAAATTTCTTAAAAAAGCAACTTAAAGCTGATGCGTTGTCTATAGAAAAAATCAGTCAAAAGCAATAATAATTATAATTAACAACCATAATAATTATAATTAAAATAATAACCAATAAACAATTTATATATAAAAGTAATATATCTGTATCTGCTTATAAATGAGATTCATTTATCTATACCGTAAACCTTACGTTATTATCATACTATACTAAAAAAAATAATTAACCAAAATAATTAAATCCGATATTGAAAGTGTCTGTTTCAATAAAATACTTTTGCAAAAAATTAATAACGAAGTAAACCCCTTCACTTCACTTGTGCATATCTCAGTCTCTGATCAACTTTAGTTGAAATGTACTCATATATTTAAAAAAAAAAACTAGTGCCATAGTGGCAAAAACAATAGAATATGTATAACAGATATAGTGTTTATAGATATATTTTGATATATATTTATATACATGTATCACAAAAACTATATATGTTATTATGTATATAATAGATATATTATATTATTAAATTATATTACAACTATTGTAGCTATATATTAATAGATACCAGTGGTAGTCCAATTCTAAAGGAGCCGTAGCTCATTAGGCACATATGTGAGCCTTTATTGAAAAGGTTTAGAAAAAATAATACAACAAAAAGTGCCAGTTAACAGCATTAAAAAAATATATATTCGTAAAAAAATTCTGCATGAAATTGTTGTTGTTGTTATTATTATGATTTGAGTTAGTGCTATTGCGCACTTTTACTCTATTGTGACTGGAGGGCTTATCCCTGCCCCACACTAAACTTTAGCTATACTAAAAACATTATCATTTATTTATTTTCTAACTAATGACGGACCGTAGATCGTCCTGAGGTGGACTTAAGGTTTGTTAGAGCGGGGTTGGGCAACGTATCAACTTTTGTGAATAATTTTAGGGCTCTGTCCTTGATATACTTTTTCACTGAGTCGATTCCTATGCATGTTTGTTGTTCTAATATACCAAGAAATCGTAATTAGTCTTCTTAAAGCCAGATTTTGTGCTATCTGTAATTGCTTTATAGCAGTATTTGAGGCTTTGCTGTAAGTTACACATCCGTACAGTAGTGCTGGCCTAATTATTTGAGTAAATAATAATTTCTATTTTTGAGGTTGAAGCGATTATTATTAAACAGCGGCTTAAGGAGATGTAGAATTTTAGAGCAACTAATCCTCTAAAATAGTTGCTCTATTAGACATCTGAAGATGTGATAAGAATGCCGGATATGAGCCTACCGCGTAAGATTTATGACAACGAAAGTGGAACCAGCAGAAGAAGACTGCGACCAAGAAAACTATGAAAAGAGAGTATGCAGTAGAATTTAGAAGAAATTGGAAAACAACACCAAAAAACAGAGAAGAATGGAAGGATGTTGTTAAACAGGTTTAGGTCCTACATGGACTGTATAGTCACGGATGATGATGATAATGATTTCAATAAATTGATTTATATATGCTTTAGCCACAAAAAAACAAAAAAAAAATCAGACTCCGCACTTCTTCACTATAATATTTTTCAAACAAAAAAAAGTTAAGTGAATATGTTGAATTTACGGTAGCTAAAAAGAGATCTATCTAGTTTCTATTAACCTATTTATAAGATAAACAAGAAGTTTTTGTGGGTGTTTATTAAATGCAAGTAGTTTTTTTAAAAGAAGCTTGAATATTATTGTTATAACTCGTATTGTTCTGTCATCTTTTTGGAAAGATAATTGATTTGATGTTCTTACGAATTACGAAACTACAAAGAATTGTCACCATCATTAATTGTCATAGATGAGTGTTCCAATGGGAGTAAAACCATCCGCTGCTTGTACATTCAATCTTGATAGCTACACAAATGGCCAAACATACGTTTATGTGAAAATGAGATAAATTTAAAATTATGATTAATATATAATATTCCATAAACAAATGCAATTGATCAAATTTATCTCAAACTAATATCAAAATTAATTACAAAGCAAATCAAAATCGTTGAATTCAATATACGAAATTATTTATATTATGTCAGAAGATAAGAAATTTTGATTGCGGAAATTTTTAAAATTAAATACAAAATAATTGCTTAGTAAAGAAGATAAAAAAAGAATTATGAGCCATAATATTTGATTTATTGAAATATTTTAAAATTAAAAATAATACTACATTAAATTGATTTTTAACGTCCGTTTTAATACTAAATGCTTAATATAAAATATTGTTTTCAATGGAGAGGTTCTTATCGAACAGCAGTTAAAATGCAACAACAGAATTTTTTATTATTTTTAAATAATAAAATAATGATTTATTAAATTATTAAATTTATTGAATTATTAAATAATTATATACATATAAAATAGCCAGATAATAATTATTATACAAGCAATATAACTTAAAAACATGAGATCAATGGAATTTTTTTGATCTAATAGCTAGACATAAGGTAAGGTAAGAGCAGAAGCAGATATCGGCAACGAACCAGGTTATTCTTTAGATAAACAAGGAAATAGTTCTTAAACACATAGTTTAAAACTACATTAAACATATAAATATGAAAAGAATTAACAGTGGTAACATTTAATAAATTTTTTTATCTTAAGCGTAGGACAGAATAAAACCAAACCACTAAATCAGTTGACCATTGTGCTCGAAACCAATAGAATTGTTAAGTACTAAAAACAGTTTATACTATCTCAAATCTAATTTCTTAGCTTCCTAAAACAATTTAAGTAGATCGATTAGAGAGACCACATTAACATCATTCATGCTCAAGATGTCTTAACTCAAATATATCATTTTAGTTCTTGCTGGACACTGGAGAATAACACACGAAGTGTTCTGAGTTGTTGACATCTTCGAAATATGATTTATATATTGGATTATTTATAATACTCATATTGACTATATGGTGCCAACCTACATCTTTATGACTATAAGGTACTTTCTTTTAAATGCATAAGAAATCGTTGATTGTCGGATGCTTCTGCAAATCTTTCCGTTACATCGCAAGTTGCTTATTATGTACCCTATAATGATCAGGACACAACACAGATTGGTACCATTAATCTGAGGTCCTTCCTCTTTAATTGTATGAGAAATTTCGTCAGCTTATTGTCAGAATCTTTCAAAGGCTTTCCGTTACCAACTTACTTTGTGCAAAAACTAAACAAAGCATTGAATCAATGATGAAATGTTATAGAGCTAACACCAAAAATTCTGGACCTATAGGTGTTTAAGCATGACCTTCATTGGCCAAGAGAATTCAAAAGTTTTAAATATAGTATACCTAACACATACCGGAACATATTATTAATTGAAATCATCATTGACAGTCTAAAAACTTTCTTTTTCAGGCATGTAAATGCTGTTAACTAGTATATAAGTACTGTTGGCTGGCATATAAGTGCTGTTACCTGGCTTATAAGTGCTGTTAGCTGATATATAAGTGCTGTTAGCTACGTTAAAAACGGCAAAATATTTTCTGAAGAAATTCTATAGAACACATCTGTATAAAATGTTCAATGTTTCAAATATAGTCCATTCTGACAGGTTTCTAACATAACTTGATTGATTTTTTAATCAATCGTAACATAGCTTTGCAATTTATAGTTACTTAAATTATCATTTTCATTTTTAACTTGTCTGCATATTAAAATTATATTTATTATTTGAACGACTAAACTTTAACTGGAAAAAACAAGTGAGCTGTCAATCAAGTGGCATTGTGATGGGTTCAAAATTACTATATTTACGTTAACATAAGAAACAATTGTCTGCAAAAATAGCAGATAGGTGTTGTATTATTCATTTTAATTAAGAAGTTAGTAGACTCTTAGTCAACTTGGATGACTACCACAGTAATCACTTACTCTACTTTCTATTTATGAGTTTAGCATACTTTTCATAATTGAAAACGTCTTTTTCAGACGTCTGTAATCTATTATTTTTCGAAGATGTTACCGTGTCACACCAAATACATGCTATCGACTAATTAGTGTTAATTATCAAATTCAACAAGTAAGACTTGTTGCTACTGCCAGAATTACTTTTGGTTTATGTCTCATTTAATTTAATAACTGCGGACGCTCACACTGACGTCAGTTAGTAATAATATAAATAATTTGAATAAAAATGTTATATTGATAAGAATAAACGCACACGTACACCTAAAGATTTCGAAATCGATATATAAATCGTGTATAAACAATAATTTAAAATAGAGTAAAGCATTCGAGACTTAATCATAAATCACATGATGACATTGGACGGGTCTTAAAACCGTCGCTGTAGTAAATCATTTAAACAAAAACCAAGTTGAGCAATAAATTCGATATAAAATAATAAATAATAAAAAAATCAAAACAGCGATTTCTACTGGTATTAAAAAATTCTAATAATAATTATTTTTTTAACGCTAATACTACACCTTTCTGTAAACTCTAAAAATGTTGATTATTATTTTGTTAGTTGGAATAGATAAAAATATGACTGAACTGACAACTGATTTCAGTTTAAATAATTTAGTTATGCATGACTCGGGCACCGCCCAATGCATTTAAACAGAGATATACATAGATACATACAAATATATTTCTATCCTCTTGCGATACTCATTCAGATATTATTTTAAAAATGTTTTATTCTATGTACTTTCAACAAAACTAATATAAATCTTATAGAAGTTTTTCACTAATAATGAAATATATATTGCTTCATTCCAAATACGGTATGTCTATATACACAATTAGTTCTAAAAGGCACTACTTCAAAAAGACAATTAGTTCTTAATGGCACCAGTTTAGGATTTTATATTAGACAAAAAAGATACAATCTCAAAGATATTAGCCTCAGTTTTTGTACTGTCAGTTACCCAGATATCTATAATAAAAGCGGATTGCAGAGTGGAATTCAGTCAACTCATTGAAGAATACATATTTGTGTGACGGACTATATCAGCAACAAATTTAGTCAGTCCGTTAATAATAAGAACATTTTCAGTCTTTAATTCAAATACTTTAGTATATGAATTAGAAGTTTTCATTTATAACAATTATGTTAATTATGTTTGAAGTCATTGGAACCGAAATCAAATGTGGGCCTTTAAAATTTTATTATTATTATTATCATAATACTTTATAAACTATTATTTCTTACTGACAGTAAGAAATTTTATAAACTCTTATTTCTTTGTAAGAAAAACAAACATCTATCATCTATCAATCTATATTTTCATTTTATTTTTGAATAATGAGAAGAGACAATGATACATCGCAACCTCTGAGTTCTTTTGGTTTACATTTATAAGAAAAACTAACGGAAATTGATTGAAAAGATATATTATAAAACCCCAAACCATTTTTGTTTGTAAAACTGAAAGTATTGATACCATCTCGTGAATACTCTGAAAGCATCAATACTTATACTTATAAGTACTTTTACATACTTATGTTATTTAAAAATTGAAAAAAAAAAAAAACTTTTTTAAACTCTTGTGGGTTTTGGTGCAGTAGACTGTCACTTCTACCCACTTAAATGCACAGATATACACCCTCATAATAGAAAATTTCATCATTGTTGGATATGAAACTTCAAAAGTATTTTATTCTTCTTCATAAAAGAAGCATTGAGTATTGTTGGATATAAGTTACTATCCACTGCACTGGTACTTCTATTCAAAGTGAAATCAAATCACAACTGAACACCTCACTTGATGACTACTCAAAGGAAATCTAAAACTGTATTAATAGTCTTAAGGTATATTTATCAATCTACGCTTAAGCTAAGTAATGCTTTAATGTTCGATATATTAATCTAAAAATTCTCTTATGCCATTTTCGATTGTTAAGTCTCGAGCGTTATATATAACACTTAAAATTTATGCAAAACACTCAAAATTAGTTTATAACACTCTAGATACTCTGCCTGAGTAGCAAGATTACTCTGATATTAACAGCTGTTTTAAATAATTTGACAATAAAATGTGATATGATTCGACATATGTATTTATGAAATATTATACGTTCAATAACACAACTACAGAAATGTTAGATTACACTAAAAATTTTCAATTTGGCAACAAAAGATTGATAGATCGAGAGTAAACTAAATTGAATGCAGATTTACTAATCGAAAAAGCCATTAAATCTAAATTTAAATAAATTTCATTTTAATATCATTTATACACTTAACTGTGCATTGTAGGATTGACACTACGTCATTTACTGGTTCAAACATTATCATTTAATATTTTTCAATGACTAGAAGACACCATGAAACATAACAAACTATAACTTTTGCTGTGATATATTTTTAAAAACAATTAAAGAGTTCATGGCAAAAATATTTCTTAAAAAATCATCAAGTAAAGCTGTATGGTCAGCCAAAAATTCAATTAATTAAAATAATATAAAAATGAATTTTTGTTGTTGTAGTTCACTACTTTTCGAAAAAACTCTTTACCAAGTAATTTATTAATAATTGTTTAAAAAAATCGTATTCAATTTATCGCTGGGGATAGCTGAATACCTAAAACTATCGATCCTATCTCATATGACGTCCTTTGTGTTTGCTACTCATATAAGTGCATATGAGTATTGATACTTTATATTCCGCTCGGTACTACAAACTGGCGGCAGCAAGCAACTACTAAACGGGCTGTCTGGCGAAGACTACTCGACGCGCCCAAAGACGACTCACGTCTATAATGGCCAACTAAGCAAAGTAAGTAAGTCAATTTTGACGATCAAGTGCCGTTCAACAAGGCTAACAAAAATGTTCAACCGTAAAGGGACAACAGCAGATTCCTATAGGATACAATAATAATAATAACAACAAGATATATTTCGCTCAAGATTTACTGACTAAAAATGAAAATTTCACTAAACGTGTATCTCAATTGAAGGAGTTACCCAAGATTTACTAACCAAAAGCGGCACAAATTATTACTTTCCCTTTTCATAAACTATTTTGCATTATTTATCCAATAAATAATTATTTTTCCCAATTATTTGCTTTAACAATAAACCACCTTACTTATTTGTGTCTTATTGTGAAATCCACACTCATATGGTTTCCCACTAAAATGACTAAAATTTAATAAAATTCATTTAATGTTAAAAACGAAAGACAATAAAACTCACTTGTGTCGAGTAGATATTGCAAGCAGCCCAACGTACTCTGGCCCCCAACTGCACAAGTGTTTCGATGAGCACAGCTGTTTGTGCATTGATATGAGTGCAGCCCACGATTTTTGCATCCTTCAGCGGTTTATCCTCAGCCGCACGCTTCCGCAAAGCCATTATGCCGGGCATTTCCTGTTCGGCAATTTCGATTTCCCTGCGACCAAACGTGTGCTGGGCAGCGACGTTGCGCACGCAAAAATCTGAATTGCCTTTGGTGTTCTTTTGGACTTTCTCACGTGGCGGCAGTTCGTCACCATCATCGGAACTACTGCCCGTGTACGACTGAGAGCTGAACGAATCTGTCGAACTGGCAGATAGGGAACGGCTTCTATAACGACTCGTTTTCTTTAAAGCGCTAGAATGTTTGCTCTCCTGCTTATCACCACTGGAACCAGGATCTGGTATAGGCGTGTCATCCAAATTATTCATTATGTCAATATTTTAAACAAATAAAATTTGTCTTCTTGTTATCAAAATGATTTACTAGGCTAAATGCTCTAGATATTTTTTTTTGTTGTTTTTACTGCTGTTTTTTTTTTTTTGTGATAAGATATATATTGTCTGCGTGACAACAACAAAAACAATGAACAAATATTTTTGGAAGATGTTTTGTTTGAGACTTAAAGTTATGTTTTTTTTTTTTGTTTTCTGCACAATACGCTCACGTAATGCTCACGTGATGACAATTTAATTGAAAATTGTCTTGCCCTTCTTTGCTGCTGCTTTATTTGCAAGTATGTAAGCCTCTCCGCTGCGATTGATGTTTGTCAATTAAAAAAAATTTAATAACACCAAAAACAAAAACCAGTTCAAACACGGACAAACAATAGCTCAACTCAATTGTGTAGCAGCACTGAAGTTAATTGAAATGAATAATTGAATGGGTGCGTTTATTGTAAAATAAAAAAATTAAATAATTCCAGAAATATTTAGGAAACTTTTGCGGCGGACACAAAAATTGAAGAAACAACACGACACCGAACACAGACTGAGAAGTTCCAAACAAAAACTGAACTACATATATAACAGATAAATCATACAAGGCGCCGACAGGGTTGCCTTGTTGCAATACAACGGCAGATAATAAATGCGTGTTATGTAATGATTTTAGTAAAAGTTTTTTAAAATAAAATAATATAATATATACCAAACTGTATAATATATATACACACATTTTTAAAAGTGTATTAATTAATACATAAAGTTTTGAAATTGTAAACCTTATTTTATGTATATAATTATTTTAATATTGCAGAAACATTGTGTCATTGCGTTGTGAATAACGAAAAAAGTACTATTGATTAAAAAAATTTTGATACAAAATTTTTCAACTTTGCTACTTAAAAATGAAAATTTAAACAAAACAAAATACGAATCAATTAAATTATGCCTTGAGTAGCAACAATTATTTTAAGTTATACATTTGTATATACATATATTTATGTGTACATATATATGTGAATCATTTAATTATCATGTTATTTTAATTAGTATAATTTATCATAAACATATCAAAAATAATTCGCATATATTAAAAATTTGGATATTATTTTGGAAAAATTTTTTTATAATAAGCGGTTAAAATTATATTAAACAAACATTTACATATATACACACAAATATATTTGAACATATATAATTATACATATAAAAATGTATACATATGTCAAATTTTTGATTGACTTATTTATTCAAAAATATATCGTGTGTAATTTTTTTAATTTGTTTTTATTATTATTAATTGTTTTTTTGATATCATCTCATGAATTAGTTTTTAATACGTTTTTTATTAACAAAAGAACAGCAATTCCAGTTTGCATGCTATATTTGTATGTACATTTATTATAACGTAATTTTTTTTCCTATAAGTATATATATACAATGTATTTTTATTTTGATATATACATACGTATATAAAATATGTGTAAGCGACATCTGTTTTATAATTTATTGCTTTGTATCATTTTAATATGAATATATACTCATCAACAGTTCTATGTTACCCATTACCAACTCAACCATATATAACTTTACATGATAAAGTATATCCATATAAGTTTTGAATATCTGTCGTTATAAGTAGTGATTATCTCTTTTTGTTCCTTCTCAATTTCATTATGCTTAGAAGAAGTAGTTGCTACACCATTTCTGAATTTGGCAGGGTTATATGTATGTCGAAATCACACAACTGTAATGAGAATGTGTCTTCAATTACTCCAGTTAATGTTTCTAGAACTCAATGAATTAAAAACACCATGGACCACAAGAAGTACATTCACGATTTCACATTTAGTATTAAAAATTGTTTTTTTAGATCTAATGTTAAAAATATTCTAAACTGAAGAGAAATACTAACCTTTTTTCATAATGTCGGTATCTGTTAAACTGTTCCTCTGCACATATCAATTGATTTCTAACACGAATTCTTACTATCCTTACTATTTTCTTTATTTTGGAACAATTTAATTTTGGAACCCCGACACATTCATCCTCTAAAATCCTCTCTTCTCCTCCTCTTCTCATTTCCTATATATATTTCTGTCACTGTAACAAGTGCCTATTAAGTATTTGAGAAGGTCTGTGTTCTGTAAACAAGCTAGCTAGGCGTTGTCGAGTCCAACTCAAATAGATACCTGAACACAAGACCATCTCGGATAACTGCAAGACAGACGAGCTTGCCAAGATAGATACTTTGCTTTTTGATAATCATCGTGGGTAACTGTAGGACAAATGACCTTGCCAATGCGGATACTTTGTTTTCTGAAAAATATTTCTCGGTTATTAATATCCCGCTTGTAAGGTTTAAGGTGACAATTAAATCAAAACACCTGAGTATGGATAATATAAATCCCTAATTTTGCAGAATGAAAACTCGATCAGGTCGGTAACGGTAGGATGCTCGAAGATTTCAGATATTCTCCTAGCCAAAGATGGACACATGAAGTAGAACATAGTTTTCTCCTGATTCGCAGAGCAGATATTAATGCATAAAGTTCGTAGACGATTTCTTGGTACTATATAGTTTTTAACCCCTTATCATTTAACCATCATTATATTAAGAGTAAGGTGTTACTTATAAAAAGAGTAACTAAATAAATTCTTTGTCTATAACATACAGATAAGTTTACATGCAGTACTTCAAGTACCTGGATCCACAACCACCCGCAATACAAACACGGTACCATAAGTCTTTTGCATTCGATATATTATATTACATTGCGTATTGCACAAGAATAGTCGCAAATGTACTAAATTTGCAGGAGCACACGGTCGTGAATAAGCATATTCACTATAGCTAGATTCTACCTTCAATTCTCAAAATGTTTTCATCAATTCTTCCCTACAATTCAATGTTGTCGCTCATATATTTTAATGTCTTAACGCACACCGAATTTCCGTCCTATTGATCTTTAGCATCAATTCATTGAAATGACAAAGTTTCTTTAGCTCGATCCAGGTTTTAACTAAATCTCGCATATCCCATAGTCATTCTTTATTCCAAAAAACATCTCTTCTCTATCCCAACTCAAGCATTTCAAAAAACATCTCTTCTTCTCTATATCAAGTCGACCATTCCAAACAAATGTTGTAATAGAGAAGAAGGGGGCTTCTCTATTCCAACTTAAGCATTCCAAAAAACTCCTCTTCTTCCCTATCCCAACCCAAACATTCCAAATAACCCCTCTTCTTCTCTATTTCAACTCAAGCATTCCAAATAATCTCTCTTCTTTTTTATTCCAATCCACGTTTCTTATGTTGCAATTCTTTTTGTTTCCTGTAATTTAGATCTCCTCGGGCTATAAAAACAATTCACTTCATGTATCTCTATATATATTTATCTTATGAATGTTTGAGAATAACAATTTAAATATATCTCACCATCTATATAACAGCGAAGAATCTATTTATGACCTGTTTTAGAACTGGTTGTTACAGCCATGCGTTGAGAAATGTAAATCCTATTTTAATTTCGATTAAGACGTTGCAGTCACTCATTTAAGTAGTTCATATTTCGATGTTGTACTCCTATTATAAAGAGACTCTTATGGCACAGTACCAAATTGGGTAGCAAGCTTAGATAGGTTTACTGCAAGTTTCCCTTGCATGCAAGTCGATTTGATATTTGAATCATTTTAAGTTATATTACGCTCACTCCTTGCTTTCCTTTTCATGCTTTGGTGTTGATGTTTGTTCTAGTTTATATCAGATTCATTAAGTATTATCTCTACATTAAATATATCTTATATTTATACATATGAATTTATTATAAGCCTAAGAACACATTTATAAACCTACTAGAAATTAACGAAGCACTTTCCGAGAAACGTGTGTGAGAATAAAAAAATGATTCACATGCAACACTAAATGTTTAAATATAATATATAGACATATATATATACGTTAAATATACTCTTATCAGCGAAATACATTTTTACACTTTGGAATTTTTTTTATTAAAGTATACATATATATATAATTAAAACAATAATTTAATAAAATAAATTTAAAAAAAAATATTTGTTATTCTGTAAATACAACTAAAAATATTCGATTTCTTTAAGATAAATTTTGTTAAACAATGGAAGTACGAATTCTAGTAAATCACTAATTAACAGATCACTTGCATAAACATATATTCGATATTTTACATTTCTTTATAACCACAGATTTCATTATCGGATTCATCGGTCACCAAATGAGCTTCTGTTAAAAGTCCACTTTCATACAATTCGAAAGTTTCATTTAAATCTTTATTCGACATAGGTCCCTTTTTAGCATTCTCCTTTATAAAGTTAACAACCATGTTTTCATCCACTACAGACAGCTGTAGACTCTTACCCCAAGCGATTAATGCCATAGGACGTTCCGGACTGAGTAATAACGAGGGAGTTATAATGTGTCGATACATACAGCTGGAAACTGTTTTCTGCAATAATTCGACTTGTTTTGTGTAAGCGCAAGGATGATAAAGCATCACTATAGCACCTTCTGCAACACTGCGTAACCAACGTTGTGGTGGCAGGAATTGATAAGTACCATATTTGGGTGGTAATAAACGAAAAGCGCCACTAAAAATATAAATGATTAATTATTTTTAAACGGAAATAGTAGTTTTTTGTAACTAACTGAGTGGGTATTTTATCATCATATCTTATGGTTTCATTTAAACATTTCATTGCAGGTCTATACGCTGGTGGTATGAATTCCTCATGGAGCAACGCTTTACGGTTTAAGCTCGGTGTGAACATTGTACGATTGGCAAGGCAGAGGTAATTGTAAGAATGACGTATATCATTTGGATTAAAATCACGGCCAATTAATGTCTATAAATATGTAAGAAAATATTTAAGTTTACAATTGTTATTAATACTTTTCTTGGAAAAAGCATCAAACCTTATCATCACAACTGTTTGAGGAACTAATAATATCATTTTCTGCATCTTTTCTTGCGGGACTTACTGTAGTTCGTGTGTTTGGTGGAAATGGAAACCATTTGCCTATAAAAAATGAATATCAATATAATTAGACACCTGCTATCAAATTTAATAGTTCATAAAAAATGTGTGACGAATTCTGTTTTAGTAATTCTATTGCGTGTACATACCCGTCCACGATTCTACTTCTTTATTCTCATTATAGGCTGGCAGCTTTCTTTTAATTGATTTACTTTCAATTCTTAATAACACAAGTGCAAAACAAAATAAATGAAACCATTTAATCATAATTAAATGAAAATAATTTTTAAAAAATGGAAAAATAAACAAGGAAATTCCAAAGCAATAACGTTGCCAACCGAAACTCAAAACAAAACAAATAGAAAATGGACTTGTTGCAACACAGCTGTTTTTTTGTCTTTTATTTTCCATCAAATTCGTATTCTACGTGCTAACTTTAACCCATCAGGAACATTATTTTAAGCAAATTTTTATATATAGTAATATTGTGCTCATATCATTATAAGCTGTTTTATTACAATAACTAAAACAGAGGTTTTAGTTTAAAACTGGTGTCTACGCTAATCGTATTAATTAGTTTAGGTTAGAGCAAAGTTGTTTTATTTTATCGGAAAAATATATATATTTTTATATGTTGGATGCTAGCGATTTATCACGCTTAATTTTAAAATGTTTTCTGTCAGCAAATGAGTTAATATTTTTTCAAGTAAGTGTTTTTCCATGTTTTGAAGTGTTTTATAAATTACATATTATAATGTAGCTGTGTTTGGAGGACATAAGATTGGTCTTCGTCTGTATATACCTAACTGTCTGCTGGAATTTTCGCAAGGTAATCCTGTTTTAAACGTAATTAATACACATGGTAGAGTTCCCATATGTGTGAAAAGTAATAACGATATGTTTCACTTTCAAATATTTGTTCTATTGATTTATAATTCTTTTCCAAAAGTTTCCCTAAAGCTTGGATTGCATAGTTTTAGATAGTTCTTAACATATGATTTGTATTTTTCTAAGAGTATTTATCTTTTTTAGGTAATTTATAGTAATGATATGTATTACATTAATAGTACGTTTCCACTGTTTACTTAGTAAGCTTAACTCACTAAGTAAATTGCATTAATCATACAAAAAGCTTAACATGTAGTAAACAAAATTCGACCGAAATTATACCAACAATGACGAATGCAACATTGGAAATTATAGAAATTTGACATATTTGACACAAGAGACAAAATATGAACATAAACAAAAAAATCAGGTGAAATGTAAACATAATCCAACAAGAGGTAAGAATTTTTTAAAATATTATATTATTTATAAATAAAATATATAAATGATATATTAAAATAAGTTTCTATATCAAATATATTTGTGCTATCATTATACAATGTTATTTATTTAACAAAAAATATTCATTTCAGTTGGATATCAGGGCAGATAATGAATAAGAGCTCACAAGTTTGTATGGTGAATTTATAATCTTTGTAATTTAATAAAATTAAATATTAATATTAGTAAAAAACAAAAGAATTGGGAATATGTGGACTGAGGGCGGTAAGCAGTTATTTACATTGGCAACATAATGGAAGCAATACCTAGAAGAAAAAGTAACGAGGTTGATGAAAATATGCTAGAGAGAGTTAATAGACTAATCAATTTTGAAGTTGGAAAGAGGATATCCGCACGAAAAACCCGTAATGGACGTATTGACTAATGACTAGTTAATATATTTTTTTTTATTTTTTAATTCTATTTTTGATATAATAACTATAGGGCATTTTATTTTTAATTTTTTTCATTTCTTTATTTATGATTAATGTGGTTATAGTGCATTTTATTTTTAATTTATAAGTTATTAGTTTTATTATTAGTTGAAATAAAACTTACTGAAAATCATTGCACGTTCTTTTCTATATGCAACAACTGCTACATACATGTTATGAACAATTTAACAAACATTAGGGGTATTCACTCTCCTTTGCAAACTCATTGCAAGGTGCACGAAATGCACAGATTGTACGAGAATGCAAATAACAACAACAAAATACACGCACAAAATTTCATGCAATTGCGTGCAATCTTCCAATGCTGAAACCTATGTATATTTGCTTGCAACAAACCAGAAATGGCGGAAATCAGCTGTTTTGTCATTTGTTGCTTCTCATTTTTAAATTTGAATTGACTGTTAGTAAAATTTCGAGATATGTTAATCTATGGCTATGCTATATACATGCGTTTCGTTCAATAATTTAAATCGATGTGACCATTAATAAAGTTTTCACAAATATAATATTATATACATATACATTTGTGAATTAATTTATCTATTTATCAATTTCAGCGAAACTTACGAAAATTTGTTCACATTTTGAACTATTGAATGAAGTGTTTGGACGCATGTCTAATTTTGTACGGAAACATTGCCATAGCCACCAACTAGTTCTGCGCTAGGCAACGAAGTTTTTTTTATTGAATCGTCTGCAGACAACACATCATCCAGCTCTGCACCGAAAGTCGTGCGTTCTGCTGTGCAAAACCCCACTACCCCCCTCGATAAAAAATATAACAAATAACAATAATAAATTAAGAATTAGTTATATTTTTATTATACTAATTATTTTTATATTATATTATTATTACATATATCTCCAACAACAAATAGTGTAGCGACTTTACGAATAGCCGCATTTTCGCCTGATGAACCCAAACGATATAAAACAATAGCAATCCTTAATAGTTTATTAGTGAGACTATTAAGGAAAATACGTTCCAATTTACTCTAAGCATCTGACAAAAACGGCCTTCATCAAATTCTTGAAGAATGGTAGATCTCCATTGAATAGATTTTGGTACGGGTTGGTGATTTCTGTGATGGTTTACTAAAGTAAACAAAAGGTCTTCATTTAATTGCTCCATCACTTCCCAGTAATTTGCATCATCTAACAAATAGAAACTATATAGTAGTGAAAACTACATTAACAACATGTTAATACCTTCAATCAGAATATTAAAAGCACTATTTTCAATTAAAAAATCTATACATTTTTGTATTTCACTTGTTCGCGGCATTGTTATACTATTATTTTTCTTTGCTCAATGTGAATCGACTGCAAAAACAGCTGATTCATTTTGATGATACAATTCTGCAACA